AAATCTAACTACAAGACTTATACACACTCAAATATATCAAGGTGTTTACAATCCAGGTGCAACCAACCCTGTCGAGCACTAGCGCGAATATAATTGTAAAATTCAAAAAAATTAGACTACGCTAATCTGTACAAGTCTCATACCTCGCTCGTATTCCCTGTATGGAAAACAAAACAAAAGAAATGAACTAAAAGCTCAGTGAGGTTTCATACACATAATCGAGCAATTAAATCCAAAACATTAATCATTTAATAGCAAATAATCCAGAAAACATTTAACATATAAAAGTAATAATAACCCACTCAATAAAAGGATACACGCTCACGAGGAGCCATTCATTCATTCGTTCGCCAACCATTTTCCTTATTCCTCCAACATTAGAAAACATTTGCAAGTGAAAACTCCTCCAATGTTTTTGACATTCATTCATTCATTTCATTTCCCGCCACTAGTCAATTCATTGGTCAGTCTCCACCAATCTTCGTGGTCATACTCGAGTATACCAAAACACTGTCCCAGGGTCACCAACCGTCCGACCGAGTCCGCTTCTGGCTCGAGTCGGCTGGCAACGAAGGGCAAGGGCCCAGTTTAGCCAAGAGGCTTACATTCATGCACAAGTAGCATTCAATCATTTAATCATTGAAAATTTCACGTTAACTTAGATCGAGTGCGATAAAGTACACACTCGCCCATCGAAAATTCGTTTAGCAACCCTTGGAAAGTATTTCACATTCAAATAAACATTCACAACAATCTACATAGGCATTAGAAGCACAACATACAAAGAACACTCACCAGTCTAAGCCAAAATAACGTCAAAAGTTTCCATCCAGATTATGCTCTTGATCACCGACAAACCCTAAGAATAACCAATCCCAAATTGAAGTGAGCAAATGTAATTTAAGATCCAATTAACTCTAAAATCAAATCTTACATCTTACTAATATTCATAAGGGTAAGTAATAGAAATTTGGGCAGCATGCCCTTTGTATTTAGTTATTTTTCAGCGATTTATGACTTCATTATTTTCCTCAACTCAGCCCAAATTCACACATAAACAATCTTAATACAATAGCCCTTCACTAGATTCAATGTCATCCCAATACAAGGCAATTTCTAGCAATGCAACTATCAAAATCAAAGCTGGAAACTAGTATTAAAGAAGAATGTGTAAGTAGCAGGTTTGTCATCTTCCGGCGTTCTGGTCACAACTGATGCTACGCTTATCGGATTAGGATAAATTTTATGGCGTTTCGAAGCTAAAACAGAGACCTACATTTCTTATGAAGACATCAACACCCAATTCGTGCATTTTCAAGGCCAAAATGTGAAATCTCAGAGAAAACAGAAAGCTGCCCACGAAATAGGGCATTTGGCAGTCAAGGGTATTTTAGTCATTTCATACTCTACAGTGCTCCGATTGAGCTGAAAATTTACAGGCAGATAGTTAACTCCTTTCCCTACAACTTTCATGTTTTGACCTAAACCTGATTCGGCCTCTAACATGGACCAATATGCAGGTCAGAAACAGGGCAGATTCATCATTAATGCTGAAAATTTGATGTTTCAATGTTTAAAACTAACACTCATGCCTTGAATCATTACCCCAAGTCCCTATCCAAGCTCATAAACATTATATACTAGATAAAAAACCTTAATCACAACTGAAAATTACAAACCCTAGCTGAAAATTATAAGTTAATAAGCAAGACCATGAAATCTTTCATAAAATCCATCACTATCAAGCCATGTATTGCTTCAATTGCAAAATAAGAAAGAAAAAGAAAGGTTTCTAGTATAATACCTCAAAACCCCCAAAATAAGTTGTGATACAAGGACTTTCTTCCTCCCAAAAGTTGCACCAAGCTCACTTCCAAGCTTCCACAAAGATTAATCGAAGTGGATTCAAGTTTCACTTCACTTTTCTCAAGAATCAAGCAAGCTATCAAGATGGAATTTTTGGAAGTTTTTCTCTCTTTTCTTTCCCTAGAATTTCGGCCAAGGTGAAGGAAATGGAGAAGAAATGAAGCCAAGAGAAAGATAAGAAGATACGAAATTAATTTGGTCAAAGTTGGTTGGATCCTTGACACTTGTCAAGCCAAGATTTCCCTTCTTTGTTTTTTTTCTTTTCTTTCCTTTCCTTTGGTCAAAAATGGTGGCTTCTTTATAGGATATTTTAGGGGTGATTAGTTGAAATAAAAGCAAGGTGATTAAGGTAATAAAGTAATGTTCAAGTGGTGCACTCACTTGGTAGCAAACGGTGCACGTCGGTTCGAACCGTTTTTCCTTAACTCGCACGTACTTGTGTTTTTACATATGGTTCACTAGCTTATTATTATCACTTCTAACCACACACTTTTCCTTACCTAATACTCGTTCTTATCCACCAAATTGAGTACACACAGCTCACCAAGTGATCACACGGTCAAAATACGCGAAAACCCTAATTTACGCTAACTATAAAACTAAAGGTACAACTCTTGATTCTATGATTTATTGTAACTATTGAGAGAATAAATGAGTAGTAAAGATATTATAAAGTAATTTAATCAAAATAAAAGGGTATTTTAAGTAAATAAGAAGAATTTTGCGAGTCCTTACACTTTTGTGAGTGTTCTTTGTATGTTGTACTTCTAATGCCTATGTAGATTGTTGTGAATGTTTGATTGAATGTTAAATGTTTTCAATGAATGTTAGATTGGTAGAGCACTGGCCTGGCGGGAAATGAAATCAATGAATGTATGTCAAGAAATTGGAGGAATTTTCACTTGCAAGTATTTTTCTAATAATTGGAGGGATAAGGAAAATGGTTGGCGAACGAATGAACGAATGGCTTCATGTGAGCATGTATTCTTTTAATGAGTGTGTTTTCATTGCTTTTATACTGTGAATGTTTTCTCGATATGTCCTTATTTCAATTGCTTGATTATGTGTATGGGAACCTTACTGGGCTTTTAGGTCATTCCTTTAGTTTTTATTTTTCTTACAGGGGATACGAGCGAGGCGTGAGACTTGTACAGGTTAGCGTAGTCTAGTTTTTGAATTTTTGCAATTGTACTCACGCTAGTGCTCAGTTAGGATTGAATGTATCTAGAATTCACAACTTTTGTTATATTTGGGATTGTATGAATTTTGGGATAAATATGAATGTAAGTACACGTTCCAAGTTTGGGAACTGTTATTTCACTTATTCTTGAGATTATATCTTATTTTATTTATTAAGAGTGAGCGAGTCCTGACGAGAGTTGGGCAGGCGACTCGCTAAACCCTAGGCACGCCCTAGGGGGAGGTGGGATCGTCACAGACCTTATTGCAAATTTTGACTTGTCCTGATGAACACATTCTCTAGAAAATTAAACGCATGCTGAAAAAGTCTTTGCTTTAGTGACTTAACTTCCATGATAACACTTCCCCAAAAAAACCATATGCCCATTTAAAACTTTTCTAAAACTATTACTTGAGACCCAAGCTAAAGTCATCTTGGACAGCATTGCAAATACTTCGCATGAAAAAATGAACACGTCTTACAGGTCCTCTTTCTACCTGCTGTTTGTCTACCTCTCCAACATTTTGACTAAATCTTATATACATTGATAGTGTATACACTATCATTATTGAATTCACGACATATATGCAAAAGTTGTGAATTATGGTAAGATTATTGAACCAAATGGTGTAGCCAAATTGGCTGGATTTTGCAAGATTCCTCTACTTTTCAATCTTTATACACCTTGTCGGTATTACGGGTTACTAATTTTAATGTAATTTCAAGTTATGTAGTTTTTCTTCTGATGGTTATTTCATAGGTAAGTAGTAGTTCTGATTCCCTTTTGTTATTGTGTATTGGATAGATGAATCAACATGTTGAAGCGATTGATGCTTAAATTCAATACTTCATATCAACCACTTAATTTGTATTTTAGTTGATTTTACTCTGTAGTTCTGATTAATATACTCTGGTTGATAAATAGGTAAATTTTGAGATTATTTTACTTAGCACAATGACTTATTAATCAATTTATATTGTTCACAATTAATCTGTGAGAACCCTGAAAATACACATATAAATATCAGTGCATATTTCATTTGCATTTTAATTCTTTAATAAATTTTAGCACTAAATCTAATTGTTTTTAAATAAGTACGTATAAATAAACGTTATGTGCAAAATAAAAGAATTGTGCGAAACTATTAAACTTCTTAGTTTTGTTACATTAAACTTATATTTCGATGGTAAATTATTTCATTGATTTAACAATTAATTTCTTTGAATTCTAGTATTGTAATTAATTGTTTTGAAATAAAGTGTAAAGATAATTTTTATGTAACAAATAATATGATGGTGCCCAATATTGAATTATTCGGTATTGCTATACTAAAGTAATAACTCTTGAGTTATAGTAAGTTTACGCTTTAAAAATAAATTCCTTTATGCTTAATTAATGACACTTGAGTCGATAACCTTACTATCTTAAAACAAATTATTTAAATTCCAATGACTAACTCCAATTAGTTGCTAACCTTAAGTGTTAATAAGGTTTGAGCTAATGAATATCAAGAATGTTAAAGTTATATTAAGGTCAAACTTGATTTTTATAGTTTAGTTAATAAAGTAAGAATGTTAGGATTTACTAGGAACCTTAATATTAAATTGTAATCGATAAATATTCGATAAAAACGGTTCAAGTATACTAGTGTATAATTAGGCCTTAAAATCACACTTGGGGATAATTGTTGGAATTAAGTTAGAATTGAGATTTTAGTTGAGGTTAGGGAGCAAAGTGAAAGGACCAAAATGCCCTTCACAATCCACAAATCCCCACTACACCACAACCATCACCATGCACGGCCAAACACCCCTTCTGACAACATTTCCATCACCGCCCAAATTGTCCAATCCCGTTCTCTCCAATTCCATACGTAAACCATCTCCACACTTAACCAATTCTAACCACAAACACCTCTCAAAACCACGGCACCCTCTTCATTCCCTTTCCACTTCACATCTCAAACCACAACTGCATTTCACTCTGCCTTGCTAGTGTCGATAAACCGAGAGAGCGAGAGAGAGACCGAGCTGCACTCTGCAGCCGAGTGGAAGAAAGGAAACCGCAGGATTGAATGTTTTTGGTTCTGGCGTGAGTTGGAGTGAAACCAGGGAGAGCAAGTGGAAGTCGGAGGAGCTGCTGATCATCACCATTTTCGTTCACTTCAGACCAACATTTCCCAGCTGCAACCATCTTCACCACAACACCATTTCCAGCTGCAAATCGAACCAGGACCAACCAGTGTGCGTGAGAGCCGAGAGGGAGCAGAAATTTTCCAGATTTTCTTGCGTGAGCTTAGCTTGCTGTGAGGTAATTTCTGGATTCATTTTATGACTAATCAGAGATAGTTTGAGCTATCTAGGGGCATGCATGTACTATGGTACAGTCGGATGAATGAGATTAAGCCATTAGAAAATTTCTGTTTTGGATGTTGATGCTTCTGCCGAGAAGTTGAGCCGATAATGCAGTTTTATTTTCAATTTTCTGGGACAATCTGAGCATCTAAGTGTACTTAGCCGAATGAAAACTTGAAGATTAATACCATGCATGTGGATTTGTGCATTCGGATGATGTGGGTATAGCATACAAAAAAAAATTCTGTCTTGGGGCTAAACAATTCTGCCGAGTAGCTGGTTTAGAAATGTAGCATTATTTCTGGTGTCCTACGACAATTTGAGTTTGATTAAGTGTTTAACTACTCAACAACAATAAGGTTAAGCCATCTAGGGACATGCATGTTGATGTTAGGCACTCGAATGGGAATTTTAAGAACAGAATTTCTGTTATGTGCAAGTGTTGGAGCTGCCGAGAGTTTAGCTTGATCTGTTGCAGCCTAAATTGGTTTAATGATTGTTGTTTAAACTTATAACCATGGTTAGAAGGTTAATAACCAGTTAATTAGGCTCTGCATGCAACTAATTAGTTAGATAAACCAGAAAAAAAAAATAAAAATAAAAAGGGGCAATCTGCCCAAGCATGTCATCCGAGCCAAGCAGGAAAAAAAAAAAATAAAAATATTTTAGAAAATTTTGATGCCAATGGTTGTTGTTTGAACTCTATTTCTGAGCTAGAAACGTTTATTTTCTAGCTAAGAATTTGCATGAGGGAATTGAGAGTTTAAAAGCATGTTTTAACCCAAGAAATAAAATGAAAACAGAGAGTTCCTCCATGCATGTTTAACCGTGGCTAGTTGGACAGATTTCTGGAATTTTCTGGATAATTTTAGTTGCTGTATGAATCAGGTTTTGAAGTAGAAAATTTTAATAGTTAGCTAAGTGTTTAAACGCTGAAATTGAGTACCTAAAACCATGATCAAGCCGAGGGAAAATTTGAACTAAAGTAGATTGGTTGCTGGAAAAACTTTGGAAGCCGCAAGGTTGAACCAGAAATTTTAGTTGTTTTGAAAGTGTAATTGGTTTCTGGAATTTATTTTATTTTTCCCTTGGAATATAATAGTTTAGAAATACAAAAGAGTTGTAAGCTTTAAATGGTGTAAGTTGTATAGCAATGAAATACTTGATATATTGGAAGATGGAACCAAAAATGTTATTATATAAATGCTGGAATTTCTTATGTGATAGCCGAAAGTTGAGTTGAAAAATTTGCTTGGTTTTTGAAATTACTACGGGAAAGTAAACTAGCAATATATTAGATAAACCTCAATGTGTTTGAGCCTAAAGACTGAATAGAAGCTTATAGTTTCAATATTTGATAATCTAGGATATTGCGAGGAAGCGGAATTCGATTCCCAATTTGACATTTGAACTTCACTCCTGGTGAGTGTCCCTGCCTGTTCTATGCTTACCTGCTTAAAGCACCTTCTTGACTTGATATGTGATAAGTTGAAAAGTTGGTTTCTGATCCATTGAAGTGAGCTGTGTGTACTTTATCGCACTAGCCGTTCGAGTGGTGACTTGTGAAAAACATTTTTTTTTAGTGAATTCAAGTGCTGGACGTAAAGTCGTTGGGTGGATCCCTCGACCAGTCTATAATAGTAAATCAAGTGCTGGATGTAAAGTCGTTGGGTGGATCCCTCGACCAGTCTATAATAATGAATCAAGTGCTGGACGTAAAGTTGTTGGGTGAATCCCTCGACCAGTCTATAATAATAATATAAGTGCTGGACGTAACGTCGTTGGGTGAATCCCTCGACCAGTCTAAGGTACACTTGGGTATTATCGCCTCCCTATTTGTTTACTTCAGTCGAATCAATACGTGTTAATTGTTTTAATTGATTGCATGTTTTTGGGGCACCACTGAGCTTTAGCTCACCCCACGTTTATTTGTTTTTCCTTGACAGGTTCGGGAAACTGAAAGCCTTGAACTTACTTATGCTTCTTTTCTTTTGGATGTAATGGAGAATTACGGCTATTGTGTGGGTTGTATTATGCTTCAACTTGAATTATGTACTTTTGTTTTTGATTGCCACTTGAAGCTGGAAAATGTGTAAACCCTAATTCGGTTACTTGGTTTGTAAGTTTGTTTTTGGGATTTATGTATTTTATCTCCGGATTGGTACGACTTTATATCTTGGGTACGTAGCACGTGGGACGTTTAAGAGCCTCGACTGGTTATTTTTATCACTGCTATCTCTGAAGTTAATGTAGATTTAAGGATGATCCTATTTGGGAAAAGTTGTTTTGTAATAGATTAGGTTATTCTTCGGAAGGTTTCGGGTTAGTGTGCGTGCGTGAGTCCTGGCGAGAGCTGGGCAGACGGCCCGCCAACCCTCTGGTTCGCCTTAGGGGGAAGTGGGGTCGTCACATAATCTATATGAGTATGTTTTTGAGAAGATTGAATATTGTTGTTTTTATCCATTCTTACTTTGTCAAGACCTATCATGTTGATTGGACGGATCTTTTTTATTTTGGATAAAAATATCGCATGAATATAATGTTTGTTGATTTAAGACACATTTTTGTTGTTGTCAATCACTTTCCGGTTTTAGGCCCCGTTTGGTAAGTGAGTTTTTTGGGTGTTTCTCTAAAACTTTACTGTAGAAATTTTAAAAAAAAATTCTGAAGTGTGTAAATTTTTTAATATTTTGAAATGTACAGTTTAAAAACTTTGAGAAGTTTTTTGTGATTACTGTAGGTAAAGTTTTTAAAAAACTTGTAGCAGACAAATTTGACAAAAAACTGTAATGCCGAATAGGGTCTTAATTTTTATAATATTGGATTCGGGAAACTTAGTGAGTTGGTAATTCTGTTTGGAGCTTGAATTAGAAGAAAGCTTTTTATTTAATTAAAAGAGAAAATCTTCTTTAAATAATAGTTGCAGGTGAATGTTAAGGCTGACGTGGTTATTTTAACTTGGGTAATAGTTTTAAAAGAATCATAGTGGCAAATCGTTTTTTGAGATTTTTAGAAATTAACACCAGTGATCCTAATTGTGAGACCCCGGTTAGTCCTTAAGTATGATAGTAGGTGAGGTGAATTATTTGTGCGGTAAAATTGGGTTTTAGGGCTAATTAGAAAACCCTAATTTGGGTTAGGAATTGAAACCCTAGTTTTTGTATTAATCATAAGTTCGAGTTGTAGTTATGCTAGTGTGTGTTTTCGTACAGGTAAGTATAGGATCTGATCCATTTTATCCCTAAACTAGCAAAATCTCTAGTGTTATAATCTATTAGAAATTCTAAGTTGGGTTTAAACCCTAATTTTGCCTATGACAAAAAGGTTGTTATTAAATTGCTTTTATGTAGGATAAGGTATGATTAAGTATAGGTGATTAATATAGGAGGGTGATTAGTGAAGTAACTAAGTGTGGTTAAGTGTTCTAGATTAGATTAAGTTTGTAACTTATGGAGTTAATTGAAAGATTTTTAAATGTTTGTGGGCAAGAGTGTGAGAAAGCTAAAATAAAGTGGTAAAGGCTAGGAAGTAAAATACCATCTTTTATATGATTGGTTAGGTGGAAAATATCTTTAGTGGTCTTGATTTATATCATGGTCTAGAACATACAAGAGAAATCTAAGTTATTAACCAACTAAACATCAAAGGAAAAAGAGAGAGAGAGAGCCGAGATTGAGAGCAAGGGAGAAAAGAAAATTCCTTCAAAGTTTATCAACCTCTAGCCATCCATCTTGGTTTTGGAGCCTATGGTAGCAACTTGAGCACGTGATTGTTGAGGTTTGATCATCAACAAGGCTTGATTGAAGGTAAATCATCTTATTTGGAAGTTAACTCTTGGTGATTAAGTCTTGAAACCATGTGAAGTGATGCTTTTGTTGTGGTTGGAACTTTTTATGGTGAATATATGATGATTATAGAGTAATTTCATGATTTATTTTGATGGTAATATTGCTGAAATTTCAGTCAAGGTTAGAAAGAATTAAGGCTTCTTACTTTATGCTTTCCTTAGTTGATTTGGTTAAGTTTTGAAGTAGTTAGAGTTAGTGAGATTAGAATCTATATTATGGTTAGTGTTTGGTAAGTTTTGGGATTAATTTGGAAAAGAAATTTCGGTTTTCTTGTAGGGCAAATAGGAGGTGGCTTATGTGTGTTTGTTTGGTATGAAGTTGGTTAGAAAACTTGCATGAGAACCATAGCAACGGACCATGCGTTTGCGACGTGCGAAACCGGTTAAACTGGAAAACAAGGCAGCCCAGAATCTGAACTTTGGCTACGTTTTTCTTTGTGCTACGTACTGATTCAGGGTTTTCCCAAAACATGAAAGTTGTAGCTTCTTAAGTTCTTGTTGTGCATGCAAAATTTCAGGTCAAACGGATCTGTGTAGCCTGAGTTATGGTCAAAACCCTCGCTTCTGTTCTAAACTCTGAATTGTGCTACGTTTCTTGATTTTGCTTCTGACCGTGCTCAGTTCACATTAATAACGAAGGAACTGGGTGTTGAGGTATAAGACTTGTAGATATTTGTTTCAACTTCAAAACGGTATAAAGTGCGTCCAAATCCGAGTTCCGTAGCTCTAGTTATACCCAAAACAAAATCGGGTGTCAGAACTGCCTTTGAAGTTGGACAGTTCTGACAGGAACTTTGGAGCCATTTTTCCTTATGCTCTGTACTGATTCAGCTTTTGGTCAAAACACAAAAGTTATAGCCTTATAAATGAGTTTTCCAACGCCTCTAGAATTTCTTGATTCTGATCTCTGAGTCATGAGTTATAGTCGTTCAAACAGGGCCTGCTCGGTAACCTGAATTGAAACGGCTGGGACTGTCTTGTGCATTTTTGTCCTAGTCCCATTGAGATCTGGCTT